GAAAGAGTGCGTTCATGTCAGTCCAGCTCCTGAATGGCAGGGAATCATATCACAAAAATCATCCCTAAACTAAGAACTAGCCAGGGTTTCTCATCATGGCCTCAGCTGTGGATCTGAGGATCTCAAGGCTGTGGATCGAAACTAGAGGTAGAACTAGCCTTTACTCTTCAGTGTGCTGCTTTTAAGGCCCCACACAGAGGGAAGCATTTTAAATGGCCACAGGCTGTGTTCATGTAATAAGATTGCATCCTCCATGGCTTGCATTTAGCATTTCTAACCTGTCCCTGCAGCCAGAGTGCATTGGACTTCCCCTTGGCACTACCTGAGGTTTCCTCTTGAGGCTGCCTCCAATTCCTATTATCTCTTTTTCCTCTCCCTACATTCAACCTTCAGCTTCATCCTGTTTCACTTCACTGGTGATTCCAAGCTTTGATTCTTAGGGTCTGTGGCTCTCTGCGTATCCTGTGGATTATTCTAAAGGGATATACTCACTTTTCTGAAAGATGTCACAAGGGTAGCACCTTTCACCGACACTAACGGTAAATAAATACTACAGACCTCTTTTATTAGGAAGTACAAACCCACAACAAATCCTGCCTGGAGTGTGTTTGATAAATCAGATCTTTTGCAGACATCTGGAGATTGTGTTTGCAAATCCCCAGCCAGCTTGTTTTGTAGTCATTGTTACCATAATTCAGGTTAATGTTGTTGCCACTTTTTACTTGCTAAAACACATGTGGTGCTTTATTACTGAAAAAAGTGGCTGCCTTGGAACAGAAGTTCTTTTAAAACCCTTCTTGGAAGTTTGCTGTTTGGAGAAATAAATGTCAAATCAATTGTCCTAGCTCCGAACTGCCATTCTGAAAATGCAGCTGTGAAAAGAGATTACTTGGGTACTGTGATGAGGAGCGCATAATAATCTGGATTGAGAATTATGTAGCAATAGAGACCTAAAATAACAAGTGGGACAAGTAAACTTTTAGCTTTTCCTGTGAAGATTTGCTTAAAAAGTACTAGATCCCAAGCGAGAATGCTCATGCCAAGTTTTAAATCTCATTTGAATTTTTATAGCTGTTATAATTTCTGATATATAACCTTGGAAATAGGGTCTCGTAACAGAAATGCCGAGTCCCTTGACTACTGCCTCGCAAAAAAGAGTTGCTGTAATAGGCTACAATTCTGAGACAAGTTTGCAAGGCTGGCTTATGTCTGCATATCGTCACTCAAATGGGTCTAAGCTGGGCTCTTCACATTATTTGAGGGTATTTGTGTGTACGTGATCAGCCGTATGCAGCTGTTCCAGTAACGTCAGCCTTCTAAGTTTAACAGGCACAATCCAGCATGTCCTCATCTGCTGAAATGTTGCCACAGGGAGAGGCTTGGAGCTTGGGTACGCTGTCATGAAAAGTAAAGAAGAGCTTATTTTCTTTTTCTTCTGTCCTTATTCTTCTATATTTCTGCACAGAAGAAATGGAAGTTCCCCAGGAGCCTGGGCTGCAGAAGGATTCCACATGCCAGTGCTCTTTTCCCTCTCATTATCATACGCTTGCAATCAAACTCTAATTTTTGAAATAAAAAACCTGCAGGATTCTTTATTGGGACTATTAAACCTTCAATCTTCATTATTTAGGACGGCTACTTACCTTTTACTCAATGAAGCCATAATGCAACTGCTCCTATAAAAACTATCAAAATGGCTACTGTGGCAGTGAGTAGATTTTCCTCTGTGTAAAATAATCCTCTGTGAGTGAGACATAACTATCATTTACATTAATTAGGCAGCCATATAATGGGGTGTTCAATAGCTATTACATCATTTAAATTCTTCAGTGAGCACCTCAGCCACCCAAGAACTATCCAGCTGAACGTTTCTGAGTCCATAATTTTGAAATAATCCTTTAGAGGAAGAATATGCATGGCAGAGTGTTGCTGACAATTTCACAAAAAAAAATTCGTTTTATTCAGATTTATGGGATTATTTTAACATTTATAAGAAGTGCATAATCCTATTTTTCCC